GAACAAAGCTCTCAAGATGTGAACTTAAAGAGCTCATGGCCAGATTAATCCCTACATGAGCTCTCCCCACCACATTGAGATGATCCTTACTGAAAAAGAGCAAATTGTTCCTAAACCAGAAGAGGAGGTTGTGCAGAAGAAAGATATCCCAGAAGAAACTGAAAAAGACAAAAATATATGGCCCAGGAGTAAATTTAGCATCAAATAAATGCTAATAAAAGAGAGAGAAAAAAAGTAAGTCTTTAGGCCAATAAAGTTTTGGGGTCTTAAGGCAACGTAACTAGCCTATCCTGGCAAGTAAAACAAAAAATTGTCAATTACGTCTCTTGTACTTTCTTCTCAAGTTTGAAATATCTCCATGCCCACTAAACTACCATTAATCTCTCTACTGGGTGACCATATGATCAGTGGGACTGCTTTTGTTTCCAGTCTTGCTCCCTCCAATCAACCAAAATGAGCTTTATCAAGCACCAATTCCCTCAAACTCACAACCCATATTTGCCCTTGGGAACGGTTCAAACGTTTTAACATGGCTGGAAAAGCCCACCCAGCATTGCATGTGACCCTCACCCTGGCCTCTGTGAACCCTTTCAGATTTAATCTAACTACTCCATTTCACGTTCATCATAATCAACTGCTCTTAGTTTCTCAAAGTTGCCATGATCTTGGCCTGACTGCCTGTAATATTTTTGTCACTTTCTCTTTGCTGCCATCCTTTGAGATTTCAGCTCAAATGTCTCTTCTGACCACCCACACAGACAAGGTTAGATGTACTCTGTAACAGGAAGAATTTCCAATAACTTAAATGTTATTACTGCTTTTGGTCAGTTTTTGAGCTAGACTGTACTAGACCATGTCTATTTTGGGCACTGAATATACGCTTTTTTCTCTATACGATCTGAGGGGTAAAATAATCATACTTTAATCTTTTAAAACAGTAAGCCTCAATATTTTTTTAAACTTTTTTCTTTTGGCTGTATATGTCCTTTGCCCACTTAAAATCTTAATATCGATGTGAGCCAACACGTGCAATTAAAAAATTTCTAGTAGCCACATTAAAAAGGAAAAAGATAAAATTAGTTTTATTTAACCCAATATATCAAGTATCAATATAACTTGGCATATAAAAATATATGCAATCAAAATAAAAAATTAGTGAAATATCCTACATTCTTTTTTGGGGGGTAATAAGAGCTTTGCTATCTGGTGAGTATTTTACACTAGAAGTGCATCTGAACTCAGACACTAAATTTTCAAAGGCTGAGGTGAAACAGTCTTCCCAAAACAACGTTTTAACAGAAAAATATCTAACATTGCCTGACTTCTAAAATTTAAATTTAAAAAATAAAATTCAGTTTCTTGGTTGTACTAGCCACATTTCAAATGCTCAACAGCCACATGTGGCTGGTTCCTACCATATTGGATTATCATGGATATAGATTATCTTTTCTAATCAAAAATTTCCCTCCATATCTTATCTACTCATATTTCCCAGTCTCTGAAACCTGAATAAGGTCAATAAAAACCTTAACTCTAAGTTGCTTACATTATTCTAATCAGAAGTTGAGTTGAATACAGTGACTTACTTACCTGTTTGAGTACTTTATAAACCAAACTGCCACTTCCAGCCATAATCCTACCCACAATAGTAATTTTCTAGTCTTGAAACATTTTTGAAAAGCTATATATGTATATGAGATTGTGATGCAAGAAAGGAAATAGATACTATCTAGGGGGAACCATGCCTTGAAATCTGCCTGCAAAAGACTGAAATCTTACCTTTAAAGAATGTCTGGAAGATCAAAACACCAATGTTGTCTTGTAAATATTCGTGTATGTCTTTGTGTATAAACACACACACATATATATATGTGTGTGTGTGTATATACATATATGGCAGTATGGCTGTTATGGTTTTAAAAATGCATCCACTAACTGCTGACATCCCACCCTTCAAGAGATAAAACTTAATGCCTCCCTTGTGAGCATGGGCCTGACCCAGTGACTCATTTCTAACATAGAGAATATGGCAACCTAAGATTAGGTTATTAAAAAGATTGGCTTTCATCTTGGGCATGCACTCTTTCTTGGAACACTTACTCTGGAGGAAGCCAGAAGCCAAGCTAGGGGTTGCACTACGAAGACGCCCATGTGGCAAAAAACTGAAGGTCTCCATCTTCACACCTAGCAAGGTATTAAGGGCTTTCATCCGATGATCTCTGAGAAACTGAGGCTAGTCAATGACCACATGAGTGAGCTTGGAAGGGGATCCTTGAGATGACTATAAGCTCAGTCTGACAACTTAACTCTAACCTCAGGAGAGACTTTGGACCAGACCATTGAACTTAGCTTCTTCCAGATTTCTGACCCTCAGAAACTGTGAAGTGATGTTTATTGTTGTAAGCTGCTAAGTTTTGGGGCAATGTGTTATGCAGCAATGAAAAATTCAAACAATGGCTTATAGCTTGCAAAAGCTCCCCGCTGCCAAATGAAGCATAAATCAAGTAAGATATTTCTTTTCCCAAGCAGCTCGAAACAAGCATATCAAAGTACCTGTTTCTAGAGGTGATATACTTACTAAAAACATGATGCTACTCCTCAAAAACTTTGAAATTAACCCTCAGAATATGAATCTTGTTTTTTGAAATTTTGCTTAATAGTGCCAATTTAACATTTAAAAGTATTTGTCATCTGCATTAAGTCTGCTGGGGAATAAGTAAATTTTTTCATATAGATCAAGCATAAGGCATGCTTCTAAAGTAAAAGGCTTAATTTTTTGGTGTAGGAAAATGCCAAGGAAAGTCCTAAAAATGTATGATATAACACCAACACAATCAAATTAAGTGTATATTCCTAAAATGACTAGCTGAAAAGAGGTACTAATTTGGATGTGTAATTTTTGGAATTCTTACTCCCCTCCAAGGTCACTGCTTGACAGTCATCTCATAAGATGGGTAAATCAAGCCAGAATTTTTGAAAACCATAATATACATTGGGAAATTAGTATTCTGTGATATTTATATATTCTTTAGAATTAGCAGAAATAACCACTAGATGCCAGTGTTGTTTTTTTAAAGTTAAAAAGCAGGATGAAGGGACAGTTCAAAAACAAAATCAATTTCATGTCATAACAAATCCTAGAACAGAAACTGTTGGATTATGTTAATAAAGAGCCAAGATCCTGTTTTCACTACACAGAAGTTTATTGTGAAAGTAAATTAAACATACAAACACACAGTATGGCTAATGGTGGCAAAAGCAATCTGGTAGCTTAAGGCAAGTTTTAATGGAGATGAATTTAGAAAAGATGATGCAATGATGTAATTCTGTTTAAATATAGATTATGGAAAAATATCAAATTGCATCAATAACTTAATAAAAGTAGTTTTCAAAGCCTGCATTATTGGAAAAAAAGGGCTCATGATCTTAATGCCAGCATTAAGACAGACGGAAGCAGCACAGTGCTAAATGACAGAAAAAATTCAGTATTTACAGAAGGATGGCAACATGAACATCTGACATTTGATCTTAGTTACTGGTAGACTAAAATCCCTTAGCTAGAAGCAATAGAGAAAATGTACCATCATGTTATTTAAAAAAATATTTAAGTGCAGAAGTCAAAAACCAAGGAGCTCTGTGATAAAGTAACCTTAAAACACCACTGTAAGGACCACTTAAAAGGCGATTCCCTCAGGGGAAACTAGGGCACTGAGTGTGTAAACATGTGAGCTGCACAACACCAAATAACAACCAAATTCATTCATAGTACTTAGTTATACAAGATCAGCATGGTCTTTTATGATGCATTATTGTTTATAACAATTTAAACACACTCCTTACCATGCATGACTTCAAATATATAACAAACATTTTTAGTCTGAGATACAGGATATGTTTATGAATTATAAGACCTATATACAATGAAAGTCGCACCTCCCTTATCAATCAAGTATATATGTTTTAAATGCAATGACCTTATTCAGACTTCAGTTCACTTTCTGAATTGACCACGTCAGTTTTTCGAACTCTTTAAAATAATGCCATTCTATTATGATAAAATACATTTTTGCAAAAATTCAGAAATGTAGTAACATTTAATGAATGTGACCATGAAAAATATTGTAAGGAGGTGCCAAAGGATTTAGCACTTTTTTCCAGTTTTGTATTAAAAAAAAGTTGCATTCAATTTGACAGTGAGCCTATTTAAAAAATATTCTTATACTAATTCATCTCAAAAGGTTCTATTAATAGTCCTTTTGGAAAATACCATATATATAACCTGTGAATTTTTTCCCAGAATAATTAATGGAAGAAAATGTATCCTCTGCACCAATAAACATTTTCTAAGACTAATCTTCCATCACCCAGAATTGTTTTTACAAAAGCATGCATTATAAAATACACATAAAAGCAGCTATCTTAAACATGATTTTAATACAATATTACCTTTGTAGCTGATTCATCACTGTCTCCAGTTTAATATGCTGTTACATACATGAAGAAGCTCCAGTATCCCTTTTCTGATTGACTTAAAAAAAAAAATCCCTGAATAAAACAGAAGCCAGACTGTGACTTCTTTAGGCATTTCAGTAGAATATTATTTTCTATGGAGAACATCTCCAGACAAATTCATGATTACAGAACAGAATCGAAAACAGATCTGGGGCAGATTAGAGTTAATATCAATTAAAAATTTATATGTTTAAAAAAGAAAGAAAAGGAGCTGATCATCAACATTTAAAAGGATACTGCAACTTTAACAACTGTAAACTTTGTGTTAGAAGGCTGTGGCAGACAGCTCTATGCTACTAGGTTTTTAGCTTGTAAGTAACGCAAACGTATCAGCAGTTTTAAAATGCCATAGACAATAAAAACAAAAGGAAATGGAGGCAACAAAACAAAAAACCAAGAATGCCTAGCTAGAATGAAGCTGTATAACCAACACATCTAAAACTACCACCAAAAAAAAAAGGCAACTGATTGATTAGGGGGAAAAAACCCTCTGATAAAAACATTTTAATTTCTTGTTTTTAAATGACATGAACTTTTAAATTAAAATGGAGGGAGAAAACAAGAGTTTTGTAAGTACATAGTTTTACCTCACTACAATAATGCCAACAAGTTAGCTTGAATAGAAAAAAAATTTAAATTATTACTGGCTACATGCATACAAAATTAGAAATGCAGGTATTATAATCATAGTGCAAAACCATGGCAGTTTATGATGTCCTGTCACTGCCTAAGGTTGAGAAATAGACTGTAGTACCTCCAGTTATCACAGTTTCTGGTCTTCCAATCAATTATTTTTGTCGACTAGAAACAATGTATATGTAAAGATTGGGGGGCACACCTGCTGTGTTACTAATTAACGAAGTTTGAGGTCATCACCACCACCTAAATTGGAACCAGGACTAGGGTCTTGTTGTCTTCTTGCCTGCAATGACAAAATCATAATTTGGGGTCAAAACATGTTTTGAAAATCAAAGTGCCAAATAAATAAAAGTTTGCAACTAAAATATTTTGCTAAAGTTTCCTTAAAAACCAAGAATAAAAATCTCATATTCAAAAGGGAATTACTGAAATATGCACTATGTGTAAAAGAACAAATCTACATTTACAGTTTTACTTATAAAATTTGATGTATTTATCAAAAATATATTCTCTAGCAGATTTTAACTATTTTTTATTAGCAGACTGAACATTGACTAAATTTTAGCACAGTCCTTTCAATTAACTAGTTAGGTTAAAGTTATGCTGCATGGTTAAAATGAAAGAGCTATGGAATACTTATGGATTGAAAAAGTAATTTATGTTCCATACAGATGCTAAACGTCGTATAAGGACAGATCAATTCTGCAAAATCAGTGATGATGATATGAGGAGCTGGTTTCAGTCAATGAAAGCTAGCAAGGGGGCTGGGCAATGAAGAAACACTGAGAAAAGTCAATCCTAATTATATATTTAGAAATCACTACAAACTTACCAATAATACTTTGTGAAAAGGATATTTCGGCTTTTGTCTTAAGATAAGGGTAATTTTCAAAATATTTTAATAATACAGGACGACTCCAAAGGAGTACAAAGAACAGTCATCAGCCGCTGGAGTTCTCCCTACTGGTCATGGCTATGAAATTATGCCATGTGTTGGTCTGTTAATATTTTTGGTAAAAGCATGGAGAGGAATAAAGTCACTTTGCTATTTATTTCTTTTGTTTCTATTTACATTGTGAAGAAGCAATGAGGAAGATGTAAAGAAGACATTGTAAAGAAGGGTCAAGAATAGGAAAAATAAAAGCGGAGGGGAAGTCTGACAGAGTATGAATGAGAGCAGAGAAGTAAGAAAAAGAGAGCTGGGAGACTGGGAGGAAATTTAATGCTAAAATGGAAGATGTATGGGCAGTCACATGAAGGAGACAAATACAGAAACAGATTTAGGTTCAGAGAAAGAGCTTCTACAGGACTGGAATTCAACAACTGGATGAGCTGCCCTGAGAAGCAGTGGCGGTTTTCTAATGGAGGAGGCTGGATGTTTTAGAAGGAATTCTTCTGTGGGTAGTAAGCCTGACTAGATGATGGCAAAGAAACTCTGCACTTGATTATTCTAAAAGCATAAAGTCCATTATTTCTAGTTTCTTTCTCTCCAGTCAATCCACATGGCCCTTGATTCTCACTTATTAACAATTTTTCAGAACAGGGTTTTAATATAAAGCAGCCACCCACAAGCCTGTTGAGAACACTAATGTGTTTTTAATATTTATAAAATTAATCTAGATATTTTACCACAGACCTCTTAATATCAGTTGCTCGTTTCTTTCTTTCTTTTTTTTTTTTTTAATGTATCATCACCTAGAAACAAGGCAAATCCAATTTCTAGAAGGCAATTATGACAGGAGTCCAAAATGAAGAGACAAAAGGTGGGTCATCAGGTACTGAAGTTTTCCCTAGTGGTCAGGGCTGTGCAGAAGTAGCCAAGGGCAGTGATAACCAAAGGAAAAAGAATAAAATTTCTTGGTTGATTTCCATCCTTTTATTATCTAGATCATCAAATTGCTGAACATTCTTCATGAGAAAATGCCCTAATTATTAAAAATAGCTACAATGTATTGAGTGTATACTATGTCCAGATACTGTGCTAGTAATCATTTTATGTTTGAAACTTGGCTAAAAGAATACAGAATTACAGAATTTTAGAGCAGGATAGTACTTCAGAGATCTGATTCAACTCTCATTTTGCAAATGATGAACCCAAGAAGGTTAAGTGATTCCTCTAAGGTTACATAGTTAGCTGGTGGCAGTCAAAGACCTCTGGAAAAGATGAAACTTTAACTCACAATTAGCATTAATGTCAGCCTCTTAAGTCATTGCTATTTATCCTGATTGGTTAAGCTATAGGAGACACAGAGCAGAAATTTTAAGTCCTAATATGAAAAAAAGGAATGCACTTTCCCCAAACTCACTAAAAAAACCCAGGTCAGCAGACAATTGTAAACACCTGTTGCATACATAGGCTGCAAGAGCTGGCCTAACAGCTATATCAAAAATATAGCTCTTATAAAGTATACAGCTTCAGGAATACTTAAATATAAATATATTTAACTGACAGAACAAAATAAAACCAATAGTAGAAATAATCTACATTTCTTGGCTTGGATGGGGATGGCTCTACCAACTTATCTGTGATCTTAGACAAGCTTCTTACCCTCTTTTAGCCTCAATTCCTCAAAATAGAGATACACCTTCTAAGAGCATTTAAGATTCAAGTGTAAAGCAAATATTGTAGTGTCTCCATCTATGTCATCATTTCTCACATGTGGTACATAATAAGCACTCATGGTGTTGTTATTACAACAAAGCTGTTCACCGCTTCTCAATTTATCTAAAAGAACTTCTCAAATGTTAAAATCTGCTTCCTATAGATAAGGGTAATTTTTACAAACAAAAACAAGACTAAAAAAATAATTTTTATATTATGACAG